TATTCTCTGCATACTTCGTTTCCTTCTAATTAATAAAATAACAGCTTGAACATTCCTTAGTAAATCAGCCAAAAATTATGACAGTGGTTTGTTTATTAAATTAGGTTTCTGGCAAGGATGGAAAAAAATCTATAGTATGAATTATTGTATAAAATGTCTCATGGTCTATATAAAAGTTAAAGCTAAATAAATACAGATGTAAGTTATGTTTATATAATAAGAAACACTGCTGAGCTAAGAATTTTAGGCTGGAAAGTGCAAAGTGGATCTGATACATTATGCATTTACCACCTGACCAAATTTATTATGTAAGTAGCTCCTATAATATAAAGAGAGCCATTTTACATATATGCAAAGTAAAATGATAAGATATAATAACAGGGCAGCCTAATAATGAGGCAAGAGGTTGTGTTTTTTCACCAATGATTCCTACAATGATGGCAGTTCATATTTTCATGCTGCATGGTTTTTCAACATGGTATTAGTTTCCTAAGATAACTTTCAAATACACTAAGTGATAAATATTATTAGCATTGGCACAAGCTATTTATACATGCATATTAATATTAATTGGAATCGTGGGAGATTAATATCCTATTTGTTGCAGTCTCAACAGGCTTGGCTGAGCCAGTCCATGTGGCTTCTCTGAAACACAATCTAGAATAGAAATAGAAAGAGAAAGAGAAAGAGAAAGAGAAAGAGAAAGAGAAAGAGAAAGAGAAAGAGAAAGAGAAAGAGAAAGAGAAAGAGAAAGAGAAAGAGAAAGAGAAAGAGAAAGAATAGAATAGAATAGAATAGAATAGAATAGAATAGAATAGAATAGAATAGAATAGAATGTTGGAAGGGATCTTGGAGGTCTTCTAGTCCAACACCCTGATCAGGCAGGAAACCATATACCAGAGGTCTCCAACCTTTTTGATTTGGCAGCCCGGAAAGGGAGGCAGGCACCGCTACATGCACGCATGCAAATGGGCCGTGTGCGCAGGTGCAAAAATGAACCCCATGCGTGCACCCAAAAATGGGTCATGCATGACCGCATGTGCATATGCAAACGGGCGCACACGAGTGTATGTGCACATGCAAATGAGGCTGCGCAGGCATAAGTGCTACAAATGGGGCAGCGCTAGCACTGGCGGGACGCTATGGGCAGTGCTAGTGCCAATGGGACATTTGGGGGAGGGAAGGCACTAGCACTGGTGGGACATTTGGGGGCGGGGCGGCGCTAGCACCAGTGGGACACTCAGGGGTGGGACAGCACTAGCACCGGCGGGATGCTCGGGGTGGTGCTAGTGCCGGTGGGACGCTCAGGGCAGAGTTGTGCTAGTGCTGGCAGTGGCCAAGTGGCCAAGGCCCGGTAGTGGGCCACGGCCCACAGTTTGGGGACCCCTGCCCTATACCATGTCAGACAAAAGGTTATCCTATCTCTTCTTAAAAACTTTTAGTGTTGGAGCATTCACAACTTCTGGAGGCAGGTTGTTCCACTGATTAATTGTTCTAACTGTCAGGAAGTTTCTCCTTAGTTCTAGATTGCTTCTCTCCTTGATTAGTTTCCATCCATTGCTTCTTGTCCTGCCTTCAAGTGCTTTGGAGCATAGCTTGACTCCCTCTTCTTTGTGGCAGCCCCTGAGATACTGGAACACTGCTATCATGTCCCCCCTCGTCCTTCTCTTCGTTAAACTAGACATACCCAATTCCAGCAGCCGTTCCTTATATGCTTTAGCCTCCAGTCCCCTAATCATCTTTGTTGCTCTTCTCTATACTCTTTCTAGAGTCTCAACATCTTTTTTACATCGTGGTGACCAAAACTGGATGCAGTNTACTCGGCTGGTACCCCAAGTTGCACTCGATGAGGTGGTTAAGAAGGCGAAGGGGATGTAGAGAGGTGGTAAGAAAAGGAGGAGAGGTTGTGGGTTTAGGGGGAGGAAGGAGAGGTAAAGTGGATGAGGGTGGAGGCAAGGCGGGGACTGCCGAGTGTATCCGAAAATGTTTTGAGTATCTTTATTGTTTGTTGGTGTACATACATGCATCATTTGTATTTGTTGTTTTAATTGAAAAATTAATAAAAAAAATTATAAAAAAAAAATACTTCATGTGATCTTGATTCTATCCCTCTGTTAATGCAGCCTAGAACTGTGTTGGCGTTTTTGGCAGCTGCAGCACACTGCTGGCTCATATCTCTTTACCCAAATGTAGATAGAATCGGGAGTGGCCTTGAGGGGCAAGAGGAAGAGCTGCCACTAAGATAACAGCCAGATAAAAGGAAATTGAATCCAGGATAGGAATCTAATCTGATAAAGTGACTCAGACAAGCCCCTCCCTAGTTCTCATGAATATAAAAGAGGGAGGGGGAGGTACATTAAGACTTACAAGTTTTTCTTTCTTTAGTTTTACAGTAAAAGCAATATGGATCTAATGCACAAGGTAAAAATCATACACAGCAATTCTTTGAGGATGGGTGAGCGACACCATCAGCAGTAGTAAAAATATCACTTTTTAAACTCTGCCAACTCAGCCAACTACAGCATAAGTCTATTCCTCTTTTTTCCACATCTGTTTAATTTTTAATTTATCTATTCATTTTTTTTTTCATCAGTGAGAGAAACAAGCATTATGCCTGCTCCAGGACTGCTATAGCTTTTCCTTCTTACTGGGAAGTTGGAGGAGACGCTGAGGGAACAAGATGCCTTTGTATTATCTAAATCATGGGTGGGCAACCAGTACCTCAGTCTAATTTCATGCAGTCTTTGGCTTAATTTCAAAAGCCCTCTGTAAGCAATCACTTCATACTTCTGGCAAGAGGAATCTGTGCTGGCCAGTTGCAGAGAAACAAAGTGTTAAAGAAGGTGATAGGGGAGGGGAGGTTGAGCAAATAAGTACCCCATCCACATTTGGCTCTGGGTCTACCCACTATTTGCTTCTATCTTACCCATCACTGACAATGCACTCTGCATTTACTTATCCTTAACCCTTCACCTTAACCATAAGGAACCACCCATCCTCTACTCTCAATTTATGGTTTTTTATTTGTCCCATAGAGGAAGAGGAGTTAGGAAGTAGTAGTCATTATACATCTACCCCAACAAAGCTTTTCACCACTACACTAGTGAAACTCTGCTTTGATAAACAGCATTACCACAAAGGCCCCCAGTCTGCCCATGGATTTCAGAACTGCAGCTTTCACTGTCAGTTTTGAAAGTAAAGTGTGTAAGTCTCATGCTGCAGGGAATCTTCTAGTAAGATACATTCAGAATCCTCTTTGCTTCTTTTAAAGGTTATATTCAGATTCCTCTTGCCTTCATTTTCCAAGAAAACTTTGAGAAAAGATGTGTACCAGTAATGTACTGTTGTTGCATAGTTTCAGTTGTTAATCACTATGTTAACACTGTGTTTGTTTTATATGTTTATCAATTTAGAATTTCTTTTTAAAGAAGAAAGAGGAAAATCAAACAGTTTAGCAAAATAAATAAATAGGATTTCTCCATGTTAATGTTGCTGGAATAAGATTAAGAAAATGCTTTATCCATGAATATTTTGAAAGTCTGTATTTCTAAGTGTTAAAAAAAAAAAAACATCCAGGAAGACTATTGCAAGAAAATATTCAAAGACTCAGATTAATTTCATTCACATAAACAAGTCACATTGTCACTGCAAAATAGCTCATTGGATCCTAAACTCAGTTGCTGATTCAGTCACTAAAATGTTATTCTTGAAATTATGATTATGGTGTAGGAATGAGGATAGTATTATTTCATAATCATCCTGTAAGCCAGAGGTCCCCAACCTTTTGGGCACGAGGGACCGGTTCTGTGGAGAGAGGCTTTTTCCGTGGACCAGAGGGGGTGTGTGCTGCCTGCATTTCGTGGATGGGGCTTTGCTTGTTTGTGTAGCCCAGTTGCTGGCATGCCGCGGCCTGGTACTGGTCCATGGACCGGGGGTTGGGGATCCTTGCTGTAAGCCATAGGTAAGGAACATGTGGCCATTTAAATACTGAACTCCAACACCCAAAGGTGCTTTTTTTTTAAGGAGGCAACTGGACTTTCTTGTGTTTCTTTTGAAGACGTTTTGCTTCTCATCCAAGAAGGATTTATAGTGCTTGCAGACAGATGGTCATATAAGCAATATAAATCTTTCCACTCCCCACCATCTAGTCAGAGCTAAAGAAGCTTCTTGGATGAGAAGCGAAAAGTCTTCAAAAGAAATACAAGAAAGTCTAGTTGCCTCCTGAAAAAAAAGCACCTTTGGGACAACCATGAACTGGATGACTGAGAATCTCCATAGACATCTAACACTTAGCATCACTTCTTACAGGCTACGTTGACTGGGGCTCCTGGTCTTACAGCTTTTAGAGGGCACAGATTCACTCTCCTACTCCAGATATGCATTATAAGATCGACAATAATTGTTAACATTATTGCTTCTTGAAATTAAAAAAAAAAGAGGTAATGCAGTACAACTATTTTACAGTCACTGATCCAATGTATATACACATTTGCAGAGACTCTCACTATCTTGTACTTCATAGGATTGGAAATGTTTAGGAACATTATGTACCTAACAGAAAGCAACATTTGTGAATTTAGAACATAATGTACATAAAATAATTCTCTATAGCACTGTTTCTAAACCTTGGTAACTTGAAGGTACATAGACTTCAACTCCCAGAATTCTCCAGCCAGCATATTGACTGGGGAACTCTGGGAGATGAAGTCCACACATTTCAAGCTACCACGGTTGAGAAACACTGTTTCTTGGCTACTTCAGATTTACAAAAAAATAATCAATTATGTGATGATAATAACTCTACCCTAATAATATTAAGCCCTACTTCAATGCATAAGCTGGATTTGTAGATCATTCAAATAGGTTGGAAATTTGGTGTCCCATTTCAGCAATATTTTCAAAATTTTGCACCAGTGTTGAGCATGGGAAGAAAATAGGGGGAAAGAAAGCCCAAGGACCCATAGCGAAAGAAGAAATGGCAACCAACAAAAAATGCCTACCATGTTCCAGATAAGAAGGCGTACCTTCCGAAGGATCGAGCCTTCGAGCCCTCCGCCCATGTTTGGAGTTATTGTGCACAAACATATTATCCGACACTGCCAAGACGTGGCCATCCACGTTGACTGTTGTAGAGACCACAACCTGCAAGTGGAACAGCAATATAAGGAAACACTTTAATGCAATTTAAAATCAAATAAGCACAGAGACTAATAAACCCAGAATCTTAAATAACAGCTGGGAGTGGCAGAAAATTGCAGAGCTATTTCGCATAATAACTAGTGCCTAGACTCTATGACTCTAACAAGAGGTGCTATTGATGAGTGGGTCTTTGGCATCACAGGCTTTTGATGTCATTTAGTCAAATTACACAGTTTGTAGCTGTATAAAGGAATATACACTGTTAACCATAATTTTAACAAGAGCAGCTTTATTAACTCCTTTTAAAAAGAGTTGGCTGCATATTACCCCACATCATCCTTCAGCATGCATGTCAGAATAGATAAACTGTTGTCACTGCAAATGAGAATTGATTCAAGTGAAAAAACAAAATTGGTTGCTAAAGTTGGATTAGAGTAGCTGAATTCCTCATACTGCTAAAGCCTGGAGTATAAGTATTTGTCCAAAATTCTCCTGAACATGGTGGAGAGAAAGAAAGATTGTATATGTAAAGAATATTTAAGAACTTAAATGAATACTGTTTTTCAAATCTAGGTAGACATTGTCTTTATGTAGCAATCAAGTGTGAATTCACTGTTTTTGCAAATTTTATTATCCTATTGGGAACAACTAGAAATAGAAATATTGTTTTGCTGTACAATATAGGACATGTGAAATTTAGGCAGTGAGATGGGCAGCATATACATTTAGTAATAAATAAATAAATAAAATAAAAAGCACAAACTCAACAAGCTGATGCATTTATTAATAAAGCATAATTTTATTGATAAAATATAATTTTTGAGCAAGTTGATAAAGGATTTCCATTAAGTTATTTTGATAAAAAAATATGCATTGTTTTCTGTAGTCACTATGGATCGAAAATAGGATCCAATAGTGATTATTTATTATAGCTGAATCTTATTTATCTTAAAAGGACCTTTTAGAAGCTGTATAAAATAACTTCAACTTTAAGGAGTTAAGCAGTAGAGTAGACAACTGAGTCTTTTTTTAGATCAGAGGTCCCCAACCTTTTGGGCACCAGGGATCGGTTCCGTGGAGAGAGGTTTTTCTGTGGACCTGAGGGGGCATGGTTTGGTGTGCTGCCTGCGTCCCTCAGATGGGGCTTTGCTTGTTTGTGCGGCCCGGTTGCTGGCATGCTGCAGCCCGGTACTGGTCCATGGACCGGGGGTTGAGGACCCCTGCTTTAGATACTGTCATTATTATTATTACCCTCATTATCACCAGCTCATTCATCACTTTTCTTTATTATATTTAGTCTGATTTATATTAAAATAATCTTACAAAACAGTTTTTTTCTTTAAAGAGTTAAATAACAGGATACTAAGTAGATGTCTTAAAACAGGGGTCCCAACCCCTGGTTCATTGCTCAGTGCTGGGCTGCAGCCCACTGGAACCAGGGCATGGAAGTGGTGGGCAAGTGTCCGTGAAGCTGCATTTGTAAAAGTGGCACGCACGTGAAACCATCCCTTCTCCTGCCCCCACTGCTGCCACCTCCTCCACCAGTCTGCAGAGCCAGAAAGGTTGGAGACTGCCGCCTTAAGAACAATCACATTTATGTTAGCAAGCAGGATGAAACATTGCTGTTTGAATCCTCCTGGATTTTTAAATCTTCAAACAACTCTTGAATTTTGTTTGTTGCAGCGAAGGGGCAGTTCAGGCTTGTCAGAGAACGTGCTAGCCTTTGAACAACGTGTTCCCTAGATTACTTTCACTACATGCCTGAAGTAGCCACTGTGCATGTGTATATCGCTTAGGACACAATTACGCAAATATGAAAATAAAAACAGTCATCCACTTAACAATTGGACTCAAATGTAATGCTTGCTACAGCACCACCTATCTCCCAGTGTTGAAGGATGGTATGCTTAAGTCACATCCATATACAGCACTTTTATCTTTATGATTGTATTACACTAATCTTACAGGTCCTGTATTGATTATCAGCAGACTTCCAGATGCAATTTAAAGCGATAGTTTCCATTTAAAATTCCAAATATGGTTTGGCATTTCCAGAATTTCTGATTCTTACCAAATTTGACCCATCTGAGGGTCTTCAGGGAGAATCTCCACATGATATCCTAATTATGTGAGGTGGGAAGGACTGAACCCAGAAGGGCAGATTTCCCATCTTGGCACCAATGCTCTGGAACTGCCTCCCTCAAGAAATTAGGCTGGCCCCTTGGTGATGGCCTTCCCAAATTTACCCAAGATCAAAATTTTCTGGAAGGTCTCCAGGGAATAACTATTGACCATCAATATTTAGATATTTTGCTATCTACTTATGTTATATGCACTGATTGCTGATTAGAGGTATTATAAACATGTACTGAAATTTTTATTTATGTTGTTTGTTTCTTTCAAACTGGTATTGTTTTAAGTCTCCAAGAGTCTGCCAAGATTTATTTAAAATTTAAAATAATAACAGTTATAATAATAATACTGATTTTGATTTCTGTAAATAAATATAGCCTATGCATTAAGTCAATTTGTTACCATGATCAAACACAGCAGTATATTAATATTAGTGTGGACAGCCATTTATTCACAATAAGAGTGGATAAAACAACCATCCTTATTGTGAATAAATGCTTGTCCACACTAATATTAATGTACTGTTGTGTTTGATCAGGGAGGGGGTGGGAGAAAAGAGGAGAAACAGATTAATAATGCAATATTGTATCTAGTTAGTTATAAATTCAACAGGACATATTCTAAAACCAAGGGGAATAATGAATCACCAAAACAAATCACCAACGAAAATTTTGGTGGGGCATTTCACAAACCTGTTTTCTCTCACATTTTGGGGAAATTCTGCATCTATGTGGCTGCATCACTGCTTTTTACCACTGCCTAACTATGCATTCAACCTAAAGGCTATGTTTCCATTCCACTACCACTCATTAAGCATCCCAAGCTAATTACAGCTTCCTTCCTATGAACCTGCCTTCCAGAACTTTTGCTAAAACAATAAGAAGAAATGACCTACACTTCTCCTTAAATTAAACAAGGAAGGGGGATTAAAAATTGAAACCCACTGAGATATGTTTATTCATGCGACCTCTTACAACCAAATATAATAATTGTCTGTTAATTGCAGTTTCAGCTCCCACCTCATGCTTCAACATGTGAAACTGCAATCAGCTGGCTCCTGTTTAATCCACCTATTATGTTGACTAATTAACTTTGCTCGACAGTTTATTTCTTCCTCCATTATCAGCCCCTGTCAGCCTCAAGCACAGCGCCGCTAAGGGAGACCTCAGCCTCTTTGATTGATCACCGATAGATTGACATGCAGATTAATTTAATTAGAATCACCTCACTTGAGAAATGAAAGACAATGGCAAAGGGGCTAATAGATCTGCTCTTATAATGAGGCTACCCTCCAGAGCCAAGGAAGAGGGTTTCTGATTTATTTTGCTGAATTCCCCAGTTGCTTCGCAAGGCTCTTGCTTTAATTGTTCTTGGTATTGAGAAGCTTTAGCCTCTGAAGAGGTGAAATGCTTTACAAGGATTGGCAAACATTTCTTCAATTCTCCAAGGAAGCTGTTACCCTCTCAAAGTTGCATGAACAGAAAGGGTTGCTGGCAAGAATTTCCTTATGGGGCTTGAAATGGGTAAAAGGGAAGAAAATGAGGCAAAGTTTTCAAAGTAATATTTCATTAAGCATAGTAAATTTCTCAAAAACATGTTTTGTCATTTCCTGACCTAAAACACTGTTTAATCCAGCAGTTCCAATTTTCTGTTTATTTAATCTGTCCCTCCCTCCCCTCCTCTCCCCAATTTATTAATGTTTACAAGCCTCTGAATGTTGACATGATTTGTGTCTGGATATGGTTTGTCACAAAATGCCATTAGCTCGTTTCATCAGATATTTAAACAGTTTTAGAAGCTAGAGACTGAACGAGATAGAACCAGCACACTGGTTAGAGCATAGTAAAAAAGGAACACGTCAGCAAAAGTTTGAAATTAAATTTAATTTGTTTCTATAATCAAGGTTCATAGACACAGTTCCCTACGTGGCAAATACATAACTGGGTAGAAAACTGAATGTGCCTTAACAGGGATTTCATGCAAAACACTATATAGTGACAATCCCTCAATACAAGCAATAGCAATACCAATAGAATAGCACTAGTACTTAGACTTATATACTGCTCCATAGTGCTTTACAGCACTCTCTGAGTGGTTTACAAATATTAGCATATTGCCCCCAACAATCTGGGTCCTCATTTTAGTGACTTCAAAAAGATGGAATGCTAAATTAACCTCGAGACAGTCAGGATTGAACTCCTGGCTGTGGACAGAGTTAGCCTGCAATACTACATTCTAACCACTGCACCCCAGGGCTCCTATGATCAGTCACTTTCATCTGTCCAGAATTAATTTTGCTCTTTTTCAGCTACTGAGCACTATACTACATATGGAATACTGAATTGTTTCAACTGGAAAGGTTTAACTCAGAGGTCCCCAACCTTTTGGGCACCAGGGACCGGTTTCATGGAGAAAGGTTTTTCTATGGACCGGAGGGGACATGACATTGTGTGCTGCCTGCATCCTGTGGATGGGGCTTTCCTTGTTTGTGTGGACCGGTTGCTAGCATGCCGAAGACCGGTACTGGTCCATGGACCAGGGGCTGGGGACCCCTGGTTTAACTAATAATTGTTATTCAAAGTATTATGTTATCAATGCATAAAACTTGAATTTTTAAAGTAAAAATATATTAAGGTTTGCACAAATTTTGTGCATTGGAGTACAGAATATATTTTACGTTGATGGGCAATATACAATCCTGGCCATTTAAGTCAACTGAGCAATGCAAGCATCCCCAATATGTTTATACTATTACTGAATTTTATAAATAGATAATGCAAAAATCACACAAAGATACTGAGATACTGTAACATAATGTTCGTCCTGGGCATCTGCATGGGTGGGAAGGAACCTGTGCTGTTATTCATGTC